CTCCTTCCCCTCCTCCTCCTCCTCCTTCCCCCCCTCCTCCTCCTCCTCCTCCTCCTCCGAGTGCTGCTTCTCCTTCTCCTTCCCCTTCTCCTCCTCCTCCTCCTCCTCCTCCTCGTGCTGCTTCTAAGGGCCCCCTGGAAGAGCCAAAGCTTATCAGACCCCTGGCAAAAAGCTGCATTTCGCTCGCCCAGTTTTGCTGAGGGCCGCCAGCAGGGGGCGCTGAGCTCCCTCCTTCGACTGGAGGCCTATGTAGAGCGGCCAGCCAAGGGCAGCTTTCTCCAAGGGGCCCTGGGAGCTGAGAGTGGCTGAAGGCCTACTCGGCCAAGACATACGTCTGTGTGTGTGTGTGTGTGTGTGTGTGTGTTTGTTTGTTTGTGTGTGTGCGCGCTCCACTGCCCCGTTCCCCTTGCAACACATACATAGATCCTTTAGCGCGTCCAACCGTGGCCATTTTCAGACCTGCAGACTTCAAACCCCGCCCCCCCCGGATCAGTGGTGAGATTCTTCCGGTTCGGCCCAGTTTTGCCGGTCGCAGCCATGAGCAGCGGAGACGGGACCAGCTCTCTCTGCCGCTCTGCTGTCGGGCCCACCCTCCTCCCGGGGCTCCTATACTCACTTTCCCCGAACCAACCGGCAGAGGGCAGGCTGGCAGGAGGTGAATTGGAACGCCTCGACGCCTGCGCAAAGGGTGTCCTTGGCGTGCGAGTGCACGCAAAGCGTATGCATGCACACAAAGCGTTCCCGCCAAGCCACGCCCACCAAACCGGTGGTAAAAGTTGTTAGGAGTGATAGTCACCTAACAGTTGGGTCGGCAATATATAAACCAGGATAGTTATTTCATACTGTTGTATCTTTAAGAGAATGCTGTAATTGTGGTTGGCTGAGGTTCCTCCGACGGCCATAAAATGGAGCCTGAAACCTGGTTTGTTCTGCTTGCATTTCCCTTGTTGCCTTTTGCCTGATCGTCGTTCTGCTGGAATTGCTGTGAGTCTTGCAACTGCTCGCAAACTCCATTTACTTAACTTTGCTTTATGATACTGGTAAAGAAAAGAACTTCGTTTTTTGGATTATCCCTCGACTGATTGTTTTGAATACTAACTGCTTTAACCGCGTATGATTTGGACTGTTTGTTGGACTTTGTTTACCCATTTACAGGAAGTAAAACCTACATTTTACTATTCAGTGTATCTGTGTGCTGGTTGTGTGTTATTCCTCACCACTCTCGCTACGTTTCCCTGAGTGCGCTCATTCTCCTAATGGGGGATACCTCAACAAAAGTTTTTGAACCCCACCACTGCCCCGGAGGCTCCTGCCAGCCAGCCGTGCATGAAATTGGGAAGTCGAAGCACTCAGGTCTGAAAGTGACCATGGTTGGACGCCGCTGCTTAGAGTCTCCTCTCTTCAGGACGCTGATTGATCGACGTAGCTTGTGCTGTCCAGACAGTTTAGAGTTCATGGGATTTGAGATAGTTTGTAAGGAATTGGGAGCTGTCCCCTTAAGGGAATGCATCATGGGAAATGTAGTTAAGGTGTCCTGGGAAATGTAGTCCATGTCATGTGGCCACATCTGTAACCCTGATTGGTCCTTGGTGGGTTGGGGGAGGTTTCTTCCCTTTTGCCTGAACACCCAGCCTCATGGTAGCATCTGCACCCCCTGATTCTACTACTATGGGATGAAATAGGGGATAGAAAGATTACTATCATTTTACACTACGATTTCAACTGTGCAAAGAATGGGACATTCGATGCATCTCGACATAACGGTGAGTTACCTTGAGGATACCTAATATAATCCAATAAAAGAAACTTTGTTCTTCTATCTGTCTTTATAGGCAGCAAGCGAATCGTAAGACAGAATAGAGCTCTCCACTCAGTTCCTCCTGAGCGCATAAGACCCTCCCCCCCACACACCCCGATCAGCCCAAGCGCCCGGAGACTCCGCCCTGAGAGCAGTGACCCGCCTGGGGAATCCCCCAGCTCCGCAAGGGCAGCCGCCTCCCCTCTCTCCCAGCCGCCCCCTCCCCCCACACAGGCCGGGAGGACACCCCACAGATACGGGGAGGGGAAGAGAACAGGCTGCAGAGGGACCCCCCACTTTGGAGGGGCCAAAGAAGAGCTGCTGCCCCCCAAGAGACCGAGACCAGGCTGTTGGGTTCAGTGCTTTTATTACCCAAAGCGGCCCTGCCCCCATCATCAGCCCCCTTGGCACCTTTGCCAACTTGTAAGGCCTCGGGGTCACTGTCCCTGCCTGCAGCGACAGCGGGCGAGTCACGGGTGAGTGGGCAGCGCTGGCAGCGGCCTCTGGCCCCTGTGGCCCCACATCTGTGCAAACTCCAACTAGGAGGAGGGCAAGGGGGGGGGCTGCCAGCCCAAGCGCCCCAAGTACACTTCGTCATCCAGGCGTAGCAGACGTCCACGAGTGCCACCGAGGCTCCTTGTCCTCCCACGGCCTCAGGAGCCGCTCCAAGGCGCCCAGCTCAGGGCTGGCAGGGCCCAGGGAGCCCCACCGCAGATCGGGACAGCTGCTCCGGTCCAACCTGGGCTCCTGAGGCGGCTTCTTCAGAGACGGGTTATCCTGGGCCGAGTGATCTGTGCCTGCAGGAGGAGGAGGAGGAGGAGGGTCAAAGGCAAGGGGGGGAGGGGGCTGGCTTCGGAGCATCAGGAGGGCAAGCCAGCTCTTCCCCCACAGGGAAGGGGAGAGGGCAGGGAAACCCTGTAGGAGGAGCCCTGCCTAACGGTCCTGGTGCCTGCAGCCCCATCCCTCCCCCTCCAATCATGCCCCTGTCCTTACTGGTGTTCACTGCCACCCCCTTTGCAACCCCCCCCCCCAGCCACTTTGCTCTGGGTTCCCTGGGAAGGTGGCTGCTCCTCCCGCCTCCCTCCCTGTCCTGGGTTGTGTCTCCCAGGGAGGGTCACCACCCACACGCCCCCTCCCCCCCTTTTCTGGACCTGGAGGGAAGTGTCCACTTGGTCGAGCCGAGGCTGGAATCTGCCCTGGGTGGGCGTGGGGCTGGTGTCCTCCTGGCTGGTGCTGGCAGAGGGGCCTGCAGGGAGAGAGCGGGGGGGGGAGGGGGCGCAATGAGCCGTCCAGCCGTGGGGCGCATCCTCGCCCCTCCTCAGATAGGAAGCTGGCTCCCTCTTCCAGAGGGGCTTCTGGCAGGACCTACCTGGCTGCTGTTGCTGGGCTGGGGGGCTCTGTGGGGGGAGGCCCTGAGGCCTGGCCCCCCAGTCCGGCTCATTCTCGTACCACTTCTCCTCGCTGGGGTTCAAATCCAAGCGCCTGCGGGAAGCAGGAAAGGCGGTCAGGGAGACCCAAGCTCTGTCCCTGACTGGCCGGCAGGAGGACTCCCGACTGAGCCCGCCCCTCCAGCGGATGTCCCCCCAGGAAAGACGGGCTCCCCCACCCCTACATTCGAACCCGGAACCTCAAACTCAGCACAGCCTGAGGAAGAGGTCCCTGTTCTACAGGGGGGGGGGAAACCTTTGGGCTAGTTTCATGCCTGTGCTTTGACCTTCCCATTGTTTGCTGTTTCTGTTTGGACTGCAAGTTTGAAGCGCTTGGCAAATTGCCCCGTGGAAACGGTCGACTCCGGGAACCTGCCCAGAGCAAACACGCCACTCGCAAGCCAGGCAGGCACGGGGCGGAAGGCTCGCCAGGCGGCTGGGAGAGGCCCCAGGAGGCCTTCCCGAGCTCGGGCCAGGAATTGCCCCTCCAGGCCTGGCTGGGGGGCAGCAGCCGCTGCCCAGGAGGTCCTGCCAACGTACCTGGGGTCCTTCCTTGAGCGTCGGCGCTGCCAGCAGAGGAGGGCGGCCAGGAGCAGGATGACCAGCAGCAGGAACGCCAGGCCCAGGGCCACCCCCACGGCCACCCCCACCTTGCTGATGCTCTGGTCACAGTGGCGGCCGGTGTACCAGTAGGCGTCCGACTGCTGGCAGCTGGAAGAGAAGGGCAGAGTGGGAGGGCTGGGGGAGGATGCCCGGGGTGGGGACAGCCTTTCTCCAACTGGGAGGGGGCCCCCACAGATGCCCTGCAGCCCTCAAGGCCATGAAACCGAGGGTCCTGCCTCACTCCCGGGGCACCCTGGAACCCACATTACGTATCAGATATAAACACAGTGGAGAAAGTCCAGAAATATTTCACGAGAAGAGTTCTCCACTCCTCTACTCGTTGCAGAAGACCTTATGCCACCAGACTTGAAATTCTAGACCTAGAAAACCTAGAACTACGCTGCCTTCGGTCCGATCTAAGTATAGTACATAAAATCATACATTGCAATGTCCTCCCTGTCAATGAATATTTCAGCTTCAACCATAACAACACAAGAGCACACAATAGATACACACTCAAGGTTAATCGCACCAAACTTGATGGCAGGAAATACAACTTCAGCAACCGAGTGGTCAATGTCTGGAATCCTCTACCTGACTCCTTGGTTCCTTCCCCAAACCCCCAAAACTTTAGACTATCTACTATTGACCTCACCCCTTTCCTAAGAGGTCTGTAGGGGGCGTGCATAAGCGCACCAATGTGCCCACTGTCGCTGTCCTTTTGTTTCTTTTTATTTTTCTTATATATCCATTTCATGTATTCATGGTTATGTACTTATACCTGTTACCTTGTAAGCGATTGACAAATCAAATCAAATCAAATCAAATCAAATCAAATAATCAAATCAAATCAAATCAAATCAAATCAATAAACAAACAAACAAACAGGCTGGGGGCAGTTCTGCTTTGGCCCCAGATGCTCCAGAGCCTTCAAGGTCTCATGGGCGGCTCCATCTCCATCTCCCCCTGCCCCGACCAGCCCCCCTCCCAGGCCCTCCCCCTCCCAAGCCCAGGCAGGGTCCGAGGGCGAGGGATGGGCTTTCCAAAGGAAGCTCCATCGGTGGGGCTAGTGACTGAGCGGAGGGGCCCGGGCCCGCCTGCCTCCGGCCCACCCGCTCTTCCGCCCCCCCCCTCCCGCCACACTCACTAGCAGTTCGGCCCGTTGGTCTGGATGTGGCAGTTTCCCTTGTCACAGCGGAAGGGATCCGGGTGGAAGAAGCTACAGTTGGAGACGCACTGTAGCTGGTTGCTGATGTTTCGGGCCAGGTAGAACGGCTGCAGCTCTTGCTGGATCACCGAGTTATTCCTGCAGGTGTTGAACAGGTCTAGCCGGCAGGAAGAGAGGAGCCGAGTCAGGCACACCCACGTCACGGCCCCTGGGGACCCCAGGCTCTGCCGCTGCTTTGGGCCCAGAAAGGCCACGCGGCCCCTCCCCCACGGATCCAACGTGCCCACTGAGACCTCCAGCCGAGGGGCCTGCCTGCCTTCCCTTCGGCTGCTTCTCCCTCTGTGCCCAAGAAGGGTTACCTGTGCAGCAGGTGTTACCCCCCCCCACCCACCCCCACACACTCTCTCTCTCTCTCACACACACACACACGCAGACACAAGCAACCCACGCTCCCGCTCTCACCTTCAGGGCTGAGAGGCACCTGCGTCACCCGAGAGTCGCTCGCGTTGAAGCACAGCTTCTCTGAAAGAGACCCGGTTATCCCACCATGAAAAGCTCCGACGGGCGTTGGAAAAGGGGCCCCGATCCAGGCCGAGGGCCCGCAGGAGAACGGAAGAGAGGAAGGGGCTTTTCCCAGGCCTGGGGTATTGCACACACCCCCCCACCGGCCCCCAGTAACCCCTCCCCTCCGCCCTCCCCCTTCCTCCCCCAGGAAACTCGGCTGGGAAGGAGAGCAAAGGGGGGAGCGGAGGCAGAAAGCCCCCCCTCCTGCTCCCCACTCCCCTGGCAGCAGGGGGGGCAGCCCAGAACCGCCCCCTTGGGCCCTGTTTTCCAGCCAACCTCCTCCCCTCCCAAGTCAGACTCCCCTCCCCCTCCCCAGAAGCCCAGACCTCTTGGCGAGGGACTGGCCGATGGCTGCCCAGCCGGCCCCGCGTAAGCCCCTCCACGCCCAGGGCTGCTGCTGTGTGGGGGGGGGGGGGGCTGAGCCAACCGAGGGCCCCTCACCTGTGGACTTGGAAGTGCAGTCCTTGCTGTGCAGCTGGGCCTGGATCTCCTCCACGGCTGCCTCGTAGGAGGCCTGGTACTTGGAGAAGGGAACCCGCAGGACCACCTGGTGCTCCACGTTGATGCTGCCTTGGCTGGTGGGAAGAGAGGGGGAGGAAGAGGAAGAGCTTTACTGGGCCCCTGGGAGGAGGGGGGGGGGGTGCCTGCTTCCCTGGGCGGGGCCTTTGCGTAAGGACAGGTGGAGGTGGGCGACCAGCAACAGCCTCCCCCCAAACAGGGTTCCCACATAGCTTACCTCAGACGTATCACGACGATTTTCTGGTACCCAGAGATGTTGGCATAGAAAATATCCATCTGGGGAGAGAAAGAGAGAGAGGGACTTACAAAAAGTGGGGAGGGGCCATTGCAATGGAAGCATCTTTCTTGCCCACCCCAACTGCGCCGCCATTCCCCCCCGGCCTGGGGGGGGGGGGGCAAATGGAGGCTCCAAGCAGGCACCAGTCCTTCCAACGTTGCCCCTAAGAGGCTGCAGGCAGAAGTCGAGGCCTCCCCCCTCCCCCCTCCCCCCAATGAAGAAGCCCCTTCAGCCTGACCAGCGTCAGGTCCCAATGAGAGCAAGTCTGCCAGCCTCCGGCCTCTACAGAGCTACAAAGGCGGACCTGGAAGAAGCCTGCCTGGTCAACAGCCAGAATAAGACCAAGGGGAGTTCAGGGGAGAGCCGGCTGCCTCTCCCAGCCCACCATGGCCAGGGAGAGGGGAGCTGGGACACCCGGCGGCCAGCTCTTCTTTGGAAGCCCTGAGCCCATGGTCAACCCTCTCCCTCCCTCCCCCAGCCAGCCACCCCTGGCTCTCAGCTCCTGGGACCCTGGGGGGTGGACAGAAGGTCCCCTCCTCCCATCACCGCAGCCGCCCACTTCACCTGCTGCTTAAAACGGGCCACAAAAGACCGGAAAGCAGGGGAGCCAATGATAGCCATCCCCGACGTGAAATTCCCTTCCACCTTGACGAAGACGTTGACGGTTGCCGTAATCATCACTGCCAAAAAGCGAGAGGAAGAGAGTGAAAAACCTCCGGGGGTGTCTCTGAGCCAGGGACCTCCAGGCCTCCCCCACCACCCCTCAGGCGGCAGCCGAGTGGGCTTATTCACTTCTCCGGCTACGACTCGCCCAAAGCCTGCGTTAAGAAGCCCAAGGATTGCTATAAGTCATCGAAGGAGGAATCCAGCTAACGCCCTGGGGCCTTGGCTACCCGTGCAACCACCTGGAGAACAAGCCCATAAACACAAGGTGCCCATTAACACCCTTGGGCCTTCGGTGCCCACACGCCCTTGAACAGCAGCACTTTCACGGCCAAGGCTGGGAGCGGTCCCTTCCCTGAAAAGGCGGGGCCAAGCTGCCCTCCTTCCCTTCTTAGCTCGCTTGGGGTGGCGGCTCCCGCTTCCAATGGCTCCTGGAAACCTGCAGAATTGGGTGCCAGCCCTGAGCTCCCAGACCCTCCCTTCTGGGCCAGGTGGGCTTCCAACGCAGGCCCTTCTACCGGGCACCGAAGACGTCCAGGCGAGCGGGGCCGAAGGCCTCTCTACCCAGGCAGCACCATAGGTGTGTTGCGCCAGCCAAAGCTGGCAAGGAACCCTCCACAGTGGTAGTAGTGGAAGACCCCTGAACTCCTCCCTGGGCAGTGCCACCTCCTGAAGAGACAGCGTGGGCCTGCCTGACCGAGAACTGAGATGGACAAGCCACTCCACCTGGGCCGGGTCCACCTTCGGCTCCCACCCAGATCCTTAAGGCCACGGGGGAGGGCGCAAACTCATCCCCTCACGTTGCCATCCCATGACGTTTCGTGATGTTTCCCCCCTTGCAAGAGCTGGGGTGGGCGAGTTCCCCTCGCGGCGGCACAGGCCAACGGGCTGGGTGGTTTTCTTCCAGACCTTTCTATGGCCCAACTAAGTAATATCAGGAATGCAACCGTCATCGGTGAATGCCATTTGGCACTGATGCCATTTCCAGGGGTGGGATTCAAAATTTTGAACAACCAGTTCTGTGGCGCGTGGCTTAGTTGGTGGGCATGGCTTGGCGGTCATGTGACTGGCCGGGTGTGGCCAACTCAACATCCCTCACATCGAGGCACACATCTCCTCGCCTGGCCTCTTGTGACTGTGGGGATGCTGCAACCATCGTAAGTGTGAAAAACGGTCATAAGTCACTTTTTTCAATGGTCGCTCCACACAAGCAAAGTACCAGCAAAGGAGGGGGGAAGAAACCTCCAGAGAAATTTCAGGGACAGGAAGTCTAGTCCTGCCAAGAATGTAATAAAGGTTAACGGAGAGGCAGTTTCTGTAAGCAACACCAGAATGTTTCCTTCCTGCCTTCCTTACAGGATTAGCCCTGTAATTTCTTCTAACCACCGGTTCTCCGGACTGCTTAGAAAGTTTACAACTGGTTCTAGCCAATAGGTACGAACTGGTAGAATCCCACCCCTGGCAGTTTCCCAGTTGGGTCATAAAACGCCTGCAAGAAAACCAGCCAGCTCAGAGAGCACCCAAGACAACCACCAGTGGATGGGGTTCAAATATTTTTACCACTGGTTTGGTGGACGTGGCTTGGTGGGCGCGCTAAAGGCAGCCGCTGTCCATGGCATCAGGAAAGAGGAGCCCCAGCTGGGCCTGCAGAGGCTGCCATGAATTCCACATGAAAACTCAACACTCGTCCTCACCTTTGTGGGGACCGGGAGGCACGCAGAAGAGGACTCACCCACAGTGACTTCATTCCTTGCCTCCTTGCAAAATGGCTCCACATAAGGCGATAGACATTCACAGCGATCCCCGACAGGAAACCCCCCATTCCAACATTTGGGGGGCAGAAGGTCCGTTGCGGAGGCTTCACAGAACCAGGCGACAAAACAAAGTCAAAACAAAGCAGACAAATGTCTAGAAATCATTTAAAGCGTCACCGATGAAGGGTTTCCAAAACAAAAGACATAAAACGGGGGTCTTGGGATTGTTTCCTTGCAGGCATTCCGTTACAAAAGCAGATAACGCCTTCCGTGCTAGTAGGGACACAGAGAGCCTCCCCCATCTAAGAACCAATGGATTCGTCGGAAAGTCCTGAATTACATCACTTTCCAAACTGAGCAAATGCTCACATACACAGGATGACAATGGGACAATCCTGACCTCTTCTAAAAACCAGAGGGATCACCTGGCTTCAACGGTGAGCAACGGGGGCCTCCTGGTACTGGGGTAATAATACACAAAAGTAGAAAACGAGGGAAATGAGGTAACTCCCATGGCAGAAGGACAGGACTGGCTCAGCTCCCCACAGTGGGAAAAGATTTTTAACTAACAATCATTTCCGTGGAAGGAGTTGAAGGGAGAAGGCAAGAACTGGACACCACTAAACCCGAGGAGAAGTAGATGGCGTAAAAACAGAGAGGAAGTATATAGATAGAAACATAGAATCAAAATCAAGTGAAGTCTTTGTAAAGCTGTAGTAAGGCCACACCTGGAATACTACAACCATTTTTGGTCAAAAAAAGAGACTTTAGAAAATGTGCAGAGAAGAGCAACTAAGTTGATTAAAGTATAAAGCGTGGAGACAAGAAAACATATGAAGAAAGGTGACAGGAATTGGATTTGGCTACTCTAGAGAAAAGAAGGACTAGCGGAAACATGATAGCAGTATTCCAGGATTTGAAGGGGTGCCACAAAGAGAAGGGAGTAAATTTATTATCCAAAGTACAAGAAGGCAGGAAAAGAAACAAGGGTTGGAAAATAATCGAGGGGAGAAGCACCCTGAAATTAAGGAGAAACTTCCAAACAGTGAGAACAATTGAGCAGTGGACCAGCTTGGCCTTCATACGTTGTGAGTGCTCAATCATTGAGGATTTTAAAGAAGAGACGAGACAATTACATGTGTGAAATGTTGTCCGGTCTCCTATTTGACCAGAGTACAAGTCCCATTAGGTCATTTCCGGCTCTATTCCGATTCATTGAATTGCTCAGAGCAAAGCAGTTTGGAAGAAGCCATTGAAAATAAAATTTGGAAGAGGCAGAAGGGGAAAAAAACAAAAGCAATAATTCCACTAAAAGGAATTGGAATTCACAGTGTACACATTAATTACAATATCTATACCTGTACTCAGACTCGTAGATTGTAGCGTTCCCTCGTGTGACGTGTTCATTGTCAAAGGAAGGTGAGTGTTCGTCCTTGGCTGCTCAGTATTCGACAAAGGAGGACTCGTTGACCTGGGTGAGCCAGGCGACACCCCATGAGGGGGAAGAGCTCTTGAGGAAGTGATGGACACCGTAGTTGTCTTCAGAGTGTGTGGTGCAGAAGAACTAGAGATAGCAGATGTCGCGGGATGCGATGTCTCCTGGCTCAGCATTGGGATATGACTGGGAGACAAACTTGAGGGAGAAGACACCACTGTACTTTGGGACGTTTCCAAGGTCGGAGCTGGAGAAAGAGATGAGACTTGTGAGTGAGTGGAAGTCGCCTCTGTTGTGCTGGGAGTGGATGAAGGTACGCCAGTTGTCCTTCTGGTCGTGTGGCTTTCAGAGGTGGATAAGGTGGAGGGCAAGCTGGTCTCAGGCCTTGCTGTGCTGGAAGGGAGGCTACTCTGCACGACTCTTCCTGTCTCCACGGTGTGACGCAGAGTGGTGGAATGCAACGTTTGCTCCTGCGATGTGCTCGTTTTCAAAGATAGGGGAGCAGATGAAACGTGGGTGGTGCTCTGGTGCTCACTAGTCGGAGAAGGAGGACTAGTTGACATGTTTGTGCCAGAAGAGACCCCTTGAGGACTAGGAGCTGCTGAGGAAGCGGTGGACACCGTAGTTGTCTTCAGAGTGTGTGGTGCAGAAGAACTAGAGATAGCAGATGTCGCGGGATGCGATGTCTCCTGGCTCAGCGTTGGGATATGACTGGGAGACAAACTTGAGGGAGAAGACACCACTGTACTTTGGGACGTTTCCAAGGTCGGAGCTGGAGAAAGAGATGAGACTTGTGAGTGAGTGGAAGTCGCCTCTGTTGT